ACATTCTTCAGTGTTTTTAGCATATGATCCAATCAGTTTCACTCTCGCATGCTGCAGCAGTGAGATTTGCTGAGGTCACTGCTTTGTCATCCCTGTCCCAATTGGCCTCCAGTCACAGTCATATCAACCTGCTACTGATTCATTTAGACTGGGTTGCACAGCTAAGCCTGCTGCACCCTGTGTGCGTCTGTGTGCATGTGTGTGTATGGCACTGTCATCCTGGCTCACGAAGGGTTAATTTCTGAAGTGGCCGTTACGTCCCGTCTACACACGTAAACAGAGCTGTGTGATACAGCGTTTTGCAAATGAATCTTCCAAGCAGGTGTTGCCTCAGCAGAGTGCAGGGTTGACAGTGAGTGTGTGCATCATCAAACACAACAGATTTTAAGAAAATTGCATATACTGGAACTATGAGGCGTACAAAGAGCCCTAAATGGTTGATATGTTGATAAGTTTAAAAACTGACATTTGTAGTAAAATGTAATTCCCATTAGTTTTCTTATGGATGGTATGAAAATAGAACAAACTCTCACACACTCCACGCCACATTTCAGTACAAAAACCTTTAAAAAAAGAAAAAACACTGCTTAAAAGTCATATAACACTTGTAAAGGTTTACAAATATACAGTCGTGATGTTGAAGTTTTGGTTAAGAATGAATTTAAGGATTAGTAGAATAATAATCCCATCTTTGTGCCCCTGCAAGCTTCATGCAGTTTATTCATCGTTAAAAAAAAAATACCCTGGGGAAAATGAGAGGAAACGGAGGTATGAATCAACAGAATTATTAATGGACTTTCTCTAGCTGAGCTCTTCTCTGAATGACTGGCTCTGCAGTAAAAAAAAGTCCCTGTCATTCTGAAACACTGATACACCAGTCTGGCAGCTACCTTCACTCTGAAGAAGCTTTAGTACCATTTGAACACAGTTTATTTTCCACCAACTGATCCACATCAGTTAGAAAAGCTGGAAAACAGGGAAAAGAGATGCAAAGCTGCATCAAATATATTCTCATTATTTTCAAATAAAGGATAAATCTTCTAAAAACTGTGAGCTGCACATCATAAACTGATAGATAAATCATTTTCTGCATAGAAAGTTTAGGGCTGCTCTGTTAAAACACTGTAGTACATTTGCAAACAGCCGACATGCTCGAATTTATTTATTTTTTGGTCTCGCCTGGGGGCAGCATTAACAGTGGGACTTAACAGAGCATCAGGTAGTAAGGCTCGGAGCAGGATCTCTCTACACTGTTTAGATTGGCAGGTAAACAGTTAGCGTCCTCCCATCCAGGATTTCTCAAGTATGGTGGACCCTTGCAGTGACAGGGAGTGAGTGAGTCATCTGTACACCTTAGCCCGAGGGCCCAACTGAGCACAGAATAAGGAGTCCGCCCAGGATATGCAAATACGAACACCTCCACAACTACCCCCTCAAATACAAACAAGTGTCTTTTAATGTCTACTTCACTGTTACGACAGCATTGACTGCACATGCTCTGAGTTTGTGGGAAAACACACTTTCTTAAACCAATATCCAACACATAAACTGAACACTAATCTGTTAATTAAAAATGAGATATCTTAGATTGTGAGACTCCCCACCACTTGAGGCCGCTAAAGGCTGTGAAAGGTAAGAATTTTGTTCAGCTTAATTTAAGCCGTCAAAGTCCTCATGTGGGGGAAAAAAGGGGAAAACAATTCAATTGATTCAAGTATTGTATCTGAGCCAGAGCCAACATGTCTGTGTTAAGATAAGCCTCATGTTCAGATTAGTTTTGCATTGCTATTACAAAGAATCTTTTGGTTCAGAATAGGGACAAATGCATCAAATAAAGCTTTGACTATTTTGCAGGCCCGACTGAAGGCAAAAGGACGCCCAATCTTTGGAACAATCTCCCTGAAGATATGTCAAACTCCTTATCTTCTTTAAACCTCTCTCAAAGACACATTTTATGTGCGTACTTTTTCCTAGTTCTTATCTTGCCAACTATTTTCTCAACTTTTTGTTTTATTTTATCATGTTATTACTCTTTTCTCTTCTGTACTTTTTTTTAAACTTTTGTATCTGTGCTCTAATGCTGTATGATCTGCAAATTGCTTCGAATTGTTAGGTCGTTTTTTGTAATAATAAAAAAATATCAGTCCCCCAAATGTGTTGTTTATTTGAATCAAGATGCATTCATTATTCTCTGAAAGCTCAAAGAAAATGGTGAAAACACACAATGTTAAAGTGAAACATTTCTTCCCTGACCAACACCACATCCTTAAACAAAATGTGATGGTATCTGTCCTGTAATTTTTGCGTAATCCTCCAACTAACAACAAACCAACACCAGTGAATACATAACCTCCTTGGCAGTGCATATAATTCCAACTTTATGTTATTGTACCAAAGTCTTTCACCAGGAAGGACAAAGAAGCATCGCTTACATGTTGGAGAACTAAAACATAGTGTATTATACCACTCCATTGCATTCAAATCATGAATGAAAATGACTATAAAGGAATTGAGTGCTGGCTGAGGGAAAATCTCAAGACCATCAGACCACTGTTAGTGCCACCACTCAACTTTTTTATCTTCTCATGCTCTACAACCACCCACTCAGTCATCTTGAGTCATAGCAGCTTCTAAAGAACTCTCACCTACTGTTGTGTTTTCAGACACGCCACTATTTCAAAACACAGCTACTGTGAAATCTATAGTCACCCAACTAAAGCACACTCTTTCATAATTTGGATTCATATTGTCCAGCAAATAAATTAAACAAGTCAACCTGTTTAAGGTGACACTATGGCGAAATCACTTTGCTTGACTTTAGGATTAGTGGTGACTTTTGTGGCTTTTTATACACATGCAGAGCTTCCAAAAACCAAGATAAGTGGTATAAACCCAAAAGATGATGCCATACTCTTTAATAACCTTTAACACTTGAGCTCTCAAAAAAAGCTGTCTGCATGTAGGAAACTCAAGACAGATGTATCAAGTACTGAACTACATTTCCCATAAGGCACAGAAATCATATTACTGCAGAAATACTGTTCCCATTTACAGTAGGGCTGCAAGGTGAGTGCTACTGAGATCTCAGTTTTGACTCATACTTCTGTGTAACCTCATTCCTACGTGGCTGTGACAGCCACAAGAAAACATCAGAAAATCCCTCTAGCCTGAAGATTTCACCCTTTCAGGTTTACAGGAGGATAAAGGACAGCATCAGCTGCTTTTATTTTCTAGACAAGGCTTCAAATAGATCAAATGTTACAAAACCTAAAAATGTAATGATAAGTATTTTTTCATAAAGAGTTCTAAACCCCTGCACCAAATATGTCATCAGGGGATCGATAACATAGGTTCCAGCAGGAGCCTTTAGCAAACAAAAAAAATTCCACCAAAAGGCTTCAGAATAAGACTCAAACAACCTAGAGCTACGTATATACCTGCTCACCGCCATTTCATTCTATTCAGGTATTTCATCGTAAAGAAAAAATAACATAATAAAACAAAAAATCTACGTTTTTGCTCCCACAATTCTCTGCTTAATCTTGGCTACAAATTAACATGCTGCGAAAATTGGAACGTTCAAATGACGGTGCAAATGATTCAGAGAGTGCCCAAAATCTGAAGTAACCATCTGTTGCTGCACCCTACTTCTACATATGGGTGTTAAAGACGCAGGGGAAAGCGAATAAGGGAACAACAAAGTGATTTGGACCTAGACAGGCAAAGCAAAGCATGTCTCTTGGATCTGAACGAAAATCGAAAGAATTGCTATTCAAATAAATGCAAGAAAAGCTACAATTACTGGGCCTCTACAAAAGGACTCAGGTACTAAATCGATGTGAATCATCTCTGGAGACAATGTGCAAAATGCAACTATTTAGGTAAAGAGCTATATACCACTCTTAGCCTTTTTTCCCCTCTAAACATACGATAAGACACAAAGCAGTCATACTATAGACTCTTTACAAAAAAAAGTGTTAGTGCAAGTAGGCCTTACAAAAGACACAAAACGATTGATCTGTTGAGGCCTCTGACAAAGCTGTGAAAGTTGAGATGTGATCAGATTTTTCCTACGTAGGCGGTGTAAAAGAGACGCGGGTAGTAAGATGATTGACTGCTGTGTCTAGTCAACGTGTGTGCTTGGGGTGACATTTTATCCAAGAGTGCAGCTTCCTGCTCAAACCCACATACTGGCTCGCCTAAAGAGAAAAGGGACAAAAATGTTTATGGACAAAACCATTAGTTAATAAGAGTATGTAATCTAGATTTTCCCCGATGCCAAATCAAAAAATACTCCAGATCATATCTTCATTCTGAAAACACACCACAGCATCCCTAATCCATCTAATTATTTCCAAATATCATGATGCTCCCAGCACTGCACAGAAACCTGTTTGACTTCTAATATTTGACTTGTCATTATTACTACAGTCTTCCCTTTGTTATCTATCATTTCCCTCAGGCTCCCCACACTATGTTTGACAACCTGAGGGTCCACGTCACTCACCTTTTTACACATGAATTAGGTTCACACACATCTGACTCAAACCTCTTCACTCAAAGTGTTCTCCGCACAAGTGTAATTCCTCTATTCTTCTTGTCCTGCCGTGTAACTACAGTACAGACCAGCGTCCTTGCGACTACAGTTTTTAGGATTAACTAGACCATAAACAGTATAATGGTCTCTCTCTCTCTATATATATATATAAATAAATAAATTCAATTATTTAGGGGCTAGATTCTACATTCAAACCAATACTAATGACTCAACCCACAAATATGAGATGAGTTCAGAAACTCTGGCCTCACCTAAAAAGTGCAAACACTGCACCAGATACATAATGCAGGTTTTTGATCTTAAACATGCCCTAAACTCAACATAGATATTCTGTGCATGACTTTACCATGTCAGGAAGAGAGTGCTAATTTGACTGTAGAATCCATTAAACACAAAAACTATACACTTTCACACTCTTGACACACAACCGGGGGGGCAGACAGCACATAAATTCAGTCATCTTTATTTCAAAATTAACAAATTAACTTCTGGCAGCAAGTGATGACAAACCCAGTGTAAATCAAACCCATATGTACATTTTAATATTAGTTAAGCTTTTAAGAGCAAAATAAAATTACAGCTGCTCTGAAGGCATTTATTTTGACTCATTCTGTACACTCTTTATTCAGAGCTTGAATTCATATTCAACTCATTTTGTCTATGTCAAACAATAAAAACATGTCTGTATGCAAGTGCATTTGTGTGTGTGTGTGTGTGTGTGTGTGTATGTGTGTGTTCTCACTCTCTCATGGGAAAATCTCCAGGTGTCCTCTAAACCAAAAAGTCAACCCCATGATCTCAAACACATGCAGCACTAAACCAGTACAATGGTTAACTGATCCATATTCCAATCGCTGCAGTGCACCTGCAAACAAAAATCAACCTCTTTTTCTCTTTTGAGGGTTCATGCAGCTCAGAGCGAGAAAAAAAAACAAGAGGGCCTAAGAAAAAAAGATAAATTTCCTTTCATTTCTGCAGGTTAAGATTAAACTAGTTTACTATCATACAAACATGTAAAAGCCTATGGTCATTTAGGCATAGAAAAATAAGACTCAATGTTTAAAATGTAAAAAAAGAAGAAAAAAAAGGTTAACAACAGTAAATGAGGAAAATACTTTCTAAAAGTTGTTAAAACACTTTAAAAAATATTAGCTGCAATAAATTTTAAGCTGCCAAACTGGTTCGGAGGAGCTCAATTTTTGACCATGACATTGTTGTTCTGTATGTAGTAGAATGATACGATTTGTAACTGTGCCTCTATAAAAAAAAATGCATACATTCTATAATAATACAGTTTCTAGCAGTTCTCTTTTGTGTCATACTGTTGACCACATGACTGATTGTGGAACACTGATGACCCTGAGGTTTAGTTCTGTTCAAGAGTAAAGGCTGCCAGTTTCTCATCTCGAGTGCATCAGTTAACACCAACCACCGATGCATCTCAGTTGGGTGTTTTCATTTCTTCTCGTCTACCTGGTGAAAGCTTTTTGTTGATTGGCACGGACGATGTCGTCAGGAGACAGTGTGTCGAAGCGGAACGGTACAACTGGTGAAAGTGGACTGAGCTGCTCTTTGGATTTTTCCTGCGGTTTACAGAGGAAGGCTAGGTAACCACTTCCTGTCCGATGACATCTTCTTTTTCCATTCCTCCTCCTCCAATGTTGTCTGCGGCTCTGAGTTGACAATGTGATGGCAAATACTGAAGGTGTTGCAAAAACAGACGAGTCTAAACCCAAGGCAACTGGAGATGATGAGGACGGTGAAGGGAGATTGGTGTTGAAGTGACAAGGACCAACTCCATGTGATTGAGCCATGAGTGTGCTTAAATCAATGGACTCTCCCGGTTTATGCGGCCTGGAGTTCTGGTGGTATGGTTTGTGGTCGAGCGTATACTTGACACCACCTTCTAAAGTACTTTCTGGCAACATATCCGCCCTCTCTGGTTTTGCTGGTGAAAGGAGCGAGGTGAGAGAGTACTGTGACCCATATGAGGTGGTTGAGGTTTTGTCTTGGTGTTCAGATGCCAAACATGACAAAGAGAGCAGCTCGGAGAGGCCAGGTGGTTGTTTCAGTGCATTTGCAGGAGATTCAGTGCTGATGGGTTGAGGGAGGGCTGAGGAACTGTTAGTTTGATGCGGCAAGGCTAGCTGCGACAGTGAAACTGTCCCACCCAGGAATGTAGAAGTAATGCTGGTTGGTTTAGGAAAGGTAAGTGTGTCTGCAGGGAGTTCAGTGCTCTTAGATTGACTGTGAATGTGTGTACTTCTGTTTTGGTGCTGAGAAGCTAGCTCAGACAGTGACGTACCCGAACAGTTTCCAGAAACAATACTACTGTGCGGAGTAGGGAAAGAGTCACCGATTCTTGGGCTGTGGTTTGAGTGCTCTTGGATTAAATCAGCCAATGATGGGCTCCCCTTACTATCAGTCATTGTGACTTTACCTCCAGTCCCTGATGCCCCTAAGAGCTGATTGCTCTGGAGGACAGAACTGAGACTCCCAAACCCAGGAGGAGCAGCCAGAGAAGAGCTGGAAGTTGTTAGTTTAGGGTTGTTTAGTGACAGACTACTAAGTGAAACTGAAAGGAGCGAAGGAGCTGAGCTGTGAGACGCTGTATTTAAAGACGCCAAAGTTCCCAATGAAAGACCACTGGGATTTAACATGGTGGACGGGGGTGAATTAGGTCCCATGCTGAGAGCACTTAATGAGGGGACACCCAATCGCTTTGTGTCAACTACTGCTGTTCCCTTACTCTTCTGCCCATGCTCAGACATGAGCTGTGCCAGACTGCTAACGCCTAAAGCAACCTTTTGATGGGTGACATTTTGATTTTCAGAGCTGCTAAATACTAGGTCAGGTTTATGTTGAGATAAGAGACCATGCAAGTTTGGTAAACTTGGTGTTGTACATTTGCACCCATCAGACTGAGATTTATGTTCCTCGGATTTAATGTCAGTGTGAAAAGCAGACAAGAAGGCTCCTTACCTTACAAAAGCCAATTGCAGGTGTCGTAGAGGAGAGATAGGAGGCCAAATGAATCATATTGTAAAAGTGAGAGGGGAAAAAAACAAAAAGAAGGCACTCTGTTAAACATTTGTATTTGCGTGATTCATCATCCCACACAATTGTGAGTAAAGAACAGTGTCTGCACAACTTTAAATGTTTTTTGTTCAAGTATCTTCTAAAGAACCTACCGATAATTAGTCAAAATATCATGATAAAGTAGTACATTTGATCAGACTATCTCATCAGTGATTGTGCAACAGTCAAGTTCTTGTTTCTCTCTTTTATTTTAAAATCTATAATTCCTGCTTTGTGCGAAATACTTCATTCATTCCTCACAATAACAGTTTCTCTTAACTTGTAGTCAGAGCTCTATAGTTTTACTAACCCATTTCTTAATTATATTTTATAATTTGTATCAATACAAGCATCGTGTGTAATCAAAAATGAAGAACATGGGATATTCAAAAACATTAAACATGAAATGTTTATATATTTCTACTGAAATGCTATTAATGATTTAATGCTGAATAGATGATAGGTTAAGTACCAGTATGTCTGAATGAAATTAGTTGTTTAGGTATTATTCTGTCACAGTAAATGAGATTGATCAGTATGCACATGGCAAGATACATTTATTATGATCTAACCACCTATGAAATATCTCAATTACTTTTTAAGATTGGATAAAAAGGTCTGTTGATCCTGTGCTGAGTTTGGAAACTATCTGACCAATATTGATTAAATATATAATTAAATGAATAATGTAAAACTATTGTAGACCAGTCAAGGACAACAACTCTGGACCAATAAACTCCAGGTGTACCTTTCTCAGCCACGGCCTCTTGTTTGGTTCTTTGTGGAAGTGGAGGTTTCTCCTGGCCAACTCTTGCTACCACATCCATCTCATCATTACTTCTTTGAACTGGGGCTGTTTTAGCGTCTTCAGACAGGATTGCATCCAGGGCCTTCTGTGGGTCGAATCCATGTTTTATGGCGGCCTGGCTCAGGACTGAATCTGGTACTGCCTCTCCCAGCACTGTCCGCATATGGTCCAGACACGAATATAACTTGGCTGCAAAGTACGATGCACAGGTCAGTCACACACTAAATGTTTGTGATCAAGAAATGCATTACAGGGTAAACAAACATTGTTAAATTATCAAACCAAGAACATTACCTTGATCAAGAGGGTCAAGGCTGTGGCTGACAGTAGGGGAGATATGAACGTCTTCATCTTCTTCCTCTTCTAGAGTCTCCTCCTTTGGTGCTTGCCTCTCTTGGCGTGAATAGATGAACTGATTTGCTGAATAAACCAATAACATACTTACTTATTTGACAAACTATTGGATGTGAAGCCTGATTAACACAGTCAGATGCAAGATTGCATTCATTTCATTAATAAGTATTGTAGTTGAATAATCTTGGTTGTTATTCAGTAACAAATACACTTTTTTTTTTGCATTCTTGTATTGCAGTTTTCAATTATGAGTGTTTCCTTTTACTGGCATTCATACTTGATACCAACCTGTTGCTGGTGATATGCAGCAGTAGTCATCATCCACAGACTGTCCGTACATATCATCATCTTCAAAGTCTAGAAAAAAATAAATGAGCCTGAGCATCAGATGTGTTTCTTCTCCTGTGTCTGACACAAACATTCACGTGTACAAATGTATTTGTGGTAAAGAGAAAGACTCCTTTGTGCCAGCTGTCCCTTTGCCTTGTCAGCAGTTAACACAACAAGCAGTAAAGGGGAAGCTAAGTGATTATCTCTAATCAATAATGTACAAAACATGAGGATTAATACCTTAATAAAAAGTACGTGTCTATATATAATATCTTACAATGAATCCGAACCTACCACAGGACTGGGACGTTATCTAAGTTAGCTCTCGTTTACTTTAGTAAACAAATGCATTAGCTATGATAATAACTAGCTTGTGTGCTAGCTTGAGTGTTAACATAATAGCGTTTGCCTTTGAGCTTGGATATTTCACTGTATACTAGCATAACATTGTACATTATCCCGCGCCAGGTGCCAGAAGTGACACGACAGCAACATTATATGCCAAGCTAAACTAGCTAGCATTAGCTGCTAAGGCTACAATCAACGGCAGAGTGATGTAGCTTAGCGGCTAACGGCTTTAGCACTTGGAGGCCTAGCGGTGGCGCTCAGCTCGTCGCTACCAGCTCATCTACCTTCATCGTAGTTGTAACCTCGGACATTTCTGTGCCGAGACATGTTGCCTATGTGTCCTCTCTGGGCTCCAGTGACAGTGTCGGGCTCACAGACGGCGGTGACATGTGTCTCACTGCCCGGCTGCCATAGTCGCTGCTGCCGTTGCTGCTGAGTGTTTGGTTGACGGCAGCAGATAGGAAAGGGTTAAACTCTGCAGCCTCGCACGTGAATGCAATAAATCAGAAAAATATTTTTAAGTAATGAATTCGTGATTTGTGTACTTTAGCTTGGTGGTCAGTGAAATTATTTATAACATTTTCCAAAACTTGCTTGAGTTTTTTTTTTTATTAGCTGACGTCACTTCCTGTTGCAGCTTTAAATCCATTTCTATTGAATTAAGTTTGTATATTTTTGATAAATGTGTGTTTCTCTTGGGTTAAATACTTTTGAGTTATTTGTGCCACACGTGATCAGACAGATGACCAACTTCCCTCGCTAGGATCGTATTATTGTGGAGATGTCTGGTGGTTGAGGATGGAGGTCCATCTTGTCCACAGCCAGTTACTCTCGAACAAACCTGGGGACTCTACGCTGTATCAACTGACTCCTGTGTTTGCATTTTGCATGTTCATCTTAATAATTTTAGATGAAAATATTAAGTGTAATTGATGATTTATCAGGGCAGTGGCAGAAGGTGAGTAAGTTATATCTGCATTATATACACAGAGCAGAGTGGAGATCTAGTGACAGGGGGGTCTGACCTGAGGGAACAGTGAACAGGATTAATACCTGGAATTGTCATTAGTTCTGTTCTTGTAAACGATGATGAGAAGCAGGATGATGATGCTGACAAAAGTTGTGGATTATGTTTTTTCCCATCTTCATTGAAGAGCGTGGTTTTTGTGGTAATTGTTGCACAAAAAAACCCAAACCCGAAGGAGAAATCCTAGAGCAAAAGCTTCACCTGGGCACAGAAGCAGCATGGGTGCGAGGAGTGCAGCGAATCCTTCCAAGAAACAAAATGTCTGAGTGCAAGCACACAGTCATGCAAGCAGAGGCTATCTAAGGTTTTGAGTGAGAGCAGTACAAAACCTATAATTGATATCAATAAGTTCTGCTCTCAAACTGAGAGACCACACTCTAGATAGAGAACACACCCAATGCTAAATATGGTTGCAAATGATCTGCATAGAAACGAAGACTCATCTTTTTTCAGAAGAGACACTTGAATTTCATACTATGTGATCATGCGATATTAAGGTGTTAGAGGTAGCACAATATTACTGGTGAGCACTGGAAAGACAAGAGAGTGTCTGCCTGCATGAAACACACTAACAAGTTAAAATCCTGCCTGTGATCTTGGGGTGTGAATGTCTAAACCCTTTTTGTTAAAGGTTATGCCCTATGGTTAGAGACCAGCCCATCTGAGCCCACACTCTACACCTCGCTCATACACACACACAATGAGTGACATAATTTTTTCCCCCCTATCTTTGTACTACAAGAAAACTATAGCCCATCTACCACAAAGAGGAAATAAATAAGATGTGCATGCTTGTGCATTCACAAAAGTTTTAGTGTACACTTGATTTTAAATCTTTACACATGCATGTATCTTTTAGTCACAAGAGTGCACATGTGCAAAAGTGAGATTTCCGATCCATTGTGTTGTCCTGAGCTCATCTGCAGTGGCTCATGTGCCAGTGAAACAGAAGAAGATGAAAATGTCACACATTAATCTGATACCAGTGATGCAGGTGAAGTAGACTTATGCATCTTCCTGGTGAAATGAAATATGAGGTTTGGTGTGTCTCCCCAAGCTAAAAATAGAGCAGAATAAAGAAAGACAAGTGCTTAGGTAATTGTAAAGACCTTTTCACGATGAATGGCTCATATTGCAGGTGGCAGTTTGACGAGGAGCAACTTGAATTGAAAACAGAAGGGTATATCAGTCATATCAGGAAGAAGGGACGTTAATTTAGCTTTTTTGTTTATTGTGCCTTACGTTTTACTTTTGGGTGTGTGTGTCTGTGTGTGTGTCTACGCGTGCACACACTGAGTGGGTGGAGGTTTCCCCTCTAAAATTCCACTTCCTGTGTTTTGAAGTCTTGGTTGCATATCTACATCTCAAAATAAACAACTGCACATGTACACATGGAACACGCACATACACAAGATGCTCATGTTACAGGGTCACACAGGTGACAGAGAGGGAACTCTTTCTCTGCATCACTGAAATGTTTCTAGGACATTTTAAAAACCAAAGGCCTCAAACGGCATCTGATCTGATGGAAATGGAACATATTGCTTAAAGTAGAGACAGTCTCAACAATTGAAATTTTTAAAGGGTTTGTGGATTTTCTCTTTAGTCTCAAGTCACCAAAATAACAGTTTTTCTGTGTTCATTTTGTTTGTTATTGACGTCTCTCTGCTGTCTTTATGCTGTCAATTGTCAAGATGAATTGAATGTGTTTCTGCTGCCAGAGGGCTGAGGTGTTATTTTTCGCACCTCTACTCAAGATCTGAACATTGGTTTCCTCCGAGCATGTCTGAAGCACACTCTGGTCAAATCTGTGCTGATTTGTTCAAGAGCGGAACTGGTAGGGGACGAGACAGATTTTCTGAGAGAATTAATGTCCGACTGATTAGATGGATTAAACAGATGGATGGACAGATTGTTCGAAGAATGGCCGGATGAGTGGATGGACGCTTTTTGAATTAATATGTAAATTATATTAATGTATGGTTAATAAACTTATTTGTTTTCAACAATCATATTTTCTTTGTAACTGAAGTCCATGCAGTTCAAGGAGATGTCAAAAAATGGTTGCCAGCAGTTGGTTGGTGATGGTATCTATGGAAACAAGTGAAAGCAAAGGATTGTAAATCTGTCAACAACAGCATGTAAATCTGAAAAAAAATACAGATTAATCCCGGTGTAATTGTAGGAGACAAAGCCTTTAGTACAAAAGAGGGTGAAGGGTGAGGTCCGTCCCAAAAGTTGGCAATGGGTATGAGGTAATGCTTTACATAATTTTCCAAAGGCACAAGGCATTATGGGAAGAGGAACTTACCTCCGGGGGGAAAATGCAAAACCTACACCCTTGGTAGTCTTGGACAGATGGTTCAAACAGCTGGAGCTAATAAAGAAACATGTAAGGTCTTTAAAGTGACATGACAGTAGTAATTAGTTTGAAGATGTTTTACATTTGATTGACAAATATCACATGTGTTACTAACAATAACTTTATATTTAAAAAAGATCCTGTAATTTTTTGGTGAAGTCATATGTTTACATGCACATACAGGAGCACATTTACTATTCCTGACTTCAGGGGATCAGGTTTTTGTCAATGCAGTCCTTCACATACACATGCACAAATACGCTGAGCACACACACCGAGGGCCTTCCCAGCCCTGCATTTGAAAGTCTGGTGGTGGGACGATATATCTCAAAACCCAGGGGCCGTCATTAAGAATCATTCAAATGAACCAACCTGTGCACACAAAGCTCTACAAAGGGGGTAGCCATCCCAATACCTGCCCTTAACCTGTCCAATCGCACCCATGCAAATGTCCCCCCTCTGGAGTCAATGGGTCTCAGGCTTCCTACTCAACCTAGTATAAAGGTATTTGCATAAGTTGACTCCCTTCCTTTTATTTGGTTTCAGATAACCTGGTTTTTTAATGCTATCCTCGAGGGAAAACACACATGTAGGGCCTGTGGAGAAAACTAAAGACAAATGTGAAAATACTGATCATACATGAGAGTGGTCTATTACATTGTGCTGGTTTATATTTTCCTGACCTATTTTTCTCTCTGCATGGGTCAACTTTTCATATAATTAACATTTGATAAAATAAATATCAGAAGTGCTGCATCTTTCAGGCAAAAAAGACTGCAACAATGTCTGTGTGCATAGGTTTGTATAGGATTTGAAGGTGCAGGTTTGCAGGTGATAAGAGCCTGGCAACCATCATATCACAAGTCAGCAGTTGAGAAGCAGCACTTAAAGACTTAAAGCTAAAAACATAATAACAGCAAAAAAAATGTTTTTTATCATACTATATTCTTAAAACTGCATTTCATTTAGATAGATAGATCCAAGTATCTATCTATTTAAGCCCAAGCACAAATCGTCCTTTTCCTTTCTAAGTGCTTCACTTCAGTGATCACTCTGTCCACGCTTGGGCATAAAATAGGAAAATGTGCAGTGTGTGTGTGTGTGTGTGTGTGTGTGTGTGTGTGTGTGTCTTTATCAGGCCACTATTATGATGACTGCCCTGGGACAATAGGCTGGTCTGGGCCGATAGTAATTACAAGTGACGAGGACAATACGGTCGCGTATGGAGGAACTAATACAATAAGAAGACACATTTATAAAGTATTAACCCCCCTCCTCCTCCTCCCTGCAATGAATGGTTCATCGACTACAGTCTCGGCACAGGGAGGATGGAGAACTCAACCAAAACAAAATACTAATGGTTACAGGCTGGACAGTTCCATAAATACAAGACAGGAGAGCAGTTTTAACTTCTCATTATTAAAAGAGAGTTGCTGGGAATAACAGGCTGAACTTGTTCCTTATTTATATGTGGCCTGTTAAGAATTAACTCATACAGGGTGAATAAAGAAAGTCAAAATGAAACTTGAGGAACAAGTTGGGTACATCACTCAGCTTGCCCTTTATGATTATTATTAGTGCAATAAATCCACTCACAAGCATAGAGCTGAAGTGCCCGTGCACATTTCTTTAACTGTCTTTGTCTACACGAGCACAAAGGATCTTTTGGACGATAAGAGAAGGGATAAGGCAGAGTGTTGTTGTGTTTGTTTTTATTATCACTTAGAAACATCTGGATGTTATCTGGGTCACCAGAGGGGACTCTACACGCAGCACAACTTCACGTGTAAAAAAACAACAACAAAAAAATCGGCCATCGAATAGATTGTCCAGACACAAGCTGCGTTTCCTTCTGCTTTCCAGAAGAACTTATTCACGAAAAGTTTTTAGCGCTGACGGACGAGCAAAACGCGCCTTCAGCGTGGAGGACACTGTAGAGGGCTGTGCTGCATTCACAGACGCCTCGTTACTTTTTCGTTGCATGCACTTGGAACACACCAGCTCCGTACAGAGTAATTCTTAAAGCAATTAAAATACTCTAACCACTTTCAACTGACTCATAGCCATTGACAGCATGTTACACCCTTGCAGCTTTTGTTCTTTTAAGTGATTTCC